AATGTTCAATATTGAAACAGCAAATACTAATTCTCAGAAACACTCCAAGAAAAACAAAAACTTACTGAGACATATATCATAGAAAACAATCTCTAATCATCATCTAAGCAGGTTTTGCTCCCTCTCATCATTCATTGCCTTGTATTAGGTAAAGGTCTCCCCTTTATGTAATATAAATAAGCAGGCTCTGCCATAACTCCCCACTCATTTTAAATGTCAAACTTTTAAAACTCTTGCAACCTTGGACAAAACACATGACTTCGCTAAATTTTAGTTTCCTGCTATTTAATAGTACTGATAAACTGCTCTTCATTACATACTTTCTTGTACTTTGACACTTTCCTCATCAAATATATGTTCAACATATCTACATATATTCATATACCTTTAACTAACCTTATCTGTTATTTTGAAAATAATTTAAGTGAAAGAAATACTTGGTTTAATAACACTGTTACCAAATGATAGCAAACTATCTTTTCCAAATATTACTCAACTAGGTATAGCAAAACCTTAGAGGTTTTTACTGTTTGCAACTAAGGAAAAACATGTTGACCTCACATTTCAGAAGCAGCTCCATAAAAATACGTAGCAACATGCCTGGTCATTTTGTTTTACTACTGAAGAATATGAAATGTTAAACATTTACACAGAAAAATTTTATAAAGTAAAGGAAAAGAACATTTACTTTTTGCCATTCTTTTTTCTCCAGTTTATCATCTAAATTTTCCAATAAAATATATTTTTTCCCTGATGAAACTCCAACATGCTCAAAATATTTTTTTTTTAAGATTTATCTATTTATTTATACAAGCACTGGGTACAGTCAGAAGCACAGGAGGGTGAGAGAATTCACCAGAGCCAAAGCGGGGAACAGAACAGGCAGACTGACAAAATACACTGCTGAGGGGAGCAGCGGGCAGCAGGAGAGGTCTGCGCGCCATGTGGGACCCTCCTCAGATGGCTGGGGAGCAGCTGGGGATCAAACCGGCACTACAGAGGCTGCGGGCAGCTTCGCAGCCCAGTGCTTAACCGCTGTGTCACCAGGGGAGGCCACCCAAAATATTTTTTTTAATTTATTTATTTTTATAGAAGAACTGGGGTACAGGTGAGAGGCACAGTAGGGTGAGAGGATTCACCAGAGACAGAGCGGGGAGCAGAACAGGCAGACTGAGGGAAGGCACTGCTAAGGGGAGCAGCATGTGAGACAGGAGAGGTCTGCCATGCCATGTGGGAATCTCCCTGGCCAGCGGGGAATTGAACCCATGCTGGAGAGACTGCGGACAGCTTCACAGCATTGTGTTCAACCCGCTGTGCCACCAGGGAGGCCTGTTCAAAATATTTATATCAAAATATACACCACTATAGAGATTGCTATTATAAAACAAGGATATAAAAAAAGGTATGTTTGTTTCATGAAATCATCTACTTAAGGCTATTTAAACAAGCAAGAAACTTTCTAATCATATATAGAGAAAATTATCAGTAACTATGTTTTAAATACATATTTTATTGGTATGTTATTAATTATAATTCTGATATTTAGAATTCTTGAAACATTTTATTTCAGAATCCCAGAATTTATTATATGACAAACTTAACTGTATATATATATATCACATTAATGTATAAAATGGCAAGTACAGAAAATTTTATATCACCTAAAGCTTATTAGGTCAAAGTATAAGTTTCTGAGTCATGATAAAGTTACTTGAAATGCATTTATTAATTACAGAAACATACCTATAATTCTCAGTAATTTCCCAACATAGGTATATAAGTTTACATAAAGGATCTTTTTTGAAGTTACCACTTAAATACACTAGAATTCACTAATTTTAAAAGTCACTAGTAGATTCTCTGTAAAATAAAGAACAGACTCAATTAAATAAATACTGTGTTCTTTCTGTATGAAACCAAAAATAAATCAGATAAAAATTACAAATATCAGGTTCTGCATTAAAGACTATTAAAATCATCAGGTCAGTTAGTATTGAAAAAAAAGATTAAACAATTGTCACTGCGATGCAAGTAAGTATGCTCTAACTCTGTGGTTCTCAACCCTGGCTGCACATTAGAATCATCCAAGTGCTTTTTAAACAAACCAAGGTCCAGTCTCTACCACTCGCCTTTCTATCAAGTCCTTCAAGAAATTGTGATTCATTTATGGTGAGGCCCAAGTGTCAGTATTTTTTTTTTAAGCAGCACCTAACTGCTTCTAGGGTAGCCAGGGTCGAATACCAATACTGTTTGTTTTATAGGGGCCAGTCTAAGTGTAAAATATATACATAACACATACAGCATAATGAAAGCAATGTCCTCTTCCCCGCCTCTCAAATGCTTGTAATCACTTTCAGAGCAATAGGGTAAAGCTTGGATCTCTTAGGAAATGTGTAGATTTTAAGGCAGAAAAATAGAAAAGGCTTAAGAAACAGTTTAAGGCAGCTGCCATATGGGGAGAATCCACAGATAAGAATTGAACTGTGTGTGCTACAGTTTCTCCTTCAAATGACTGCGTTTTCCTCCACTTTATTATGCTATCTGAAACTTCATCATTTATGGACTCAACTGTCTTAACAACCATCTTCTTACAAAAAAGCCTAGAGTTACCAGTTTGCCTACAAGTCTGTTTAATAAGATTTATCTTGGCAATACCAGGGCAACATCAGGTGGTTTTAAGAAACCAATGTTTTGACAGTAAAGATGAAAAGACAGATAATCCTGAAGTATGAAACACTTTGAAAAGCAATATATATATAAATGACTCAACAACACTTAGTGGTCAAGGAGTGTTACGTCAGTGAAAACACAAATGAATATACAAGCAGGTGGACCTTATAATATCCAACCCTAAAATTATAAAATTCTATGAAAATATCAAAAACACATCTCCTTTTCCTCTCCTACACGGAAAGTTCAATTCTAAGGCACAGATCTCAGTATAGCACTGCCAACACACAAATTTTAATTCTATACTTAACTCCTTAAGCTGCTTTTAGGATCACTTATCTTATTTTTTAAGACCAGTAACTAGTTATAATTTGAGAGTGTCTGTATTATTTTTTAGGTAGGAAACAAGTAAGTCTCTTTATTAAATATAAACATTATGCACATTATTCAGCAGATATTTAATCTACATTAAACTGGAGTATAGTAAATTGCAGTATTACTGAATTGAATAAACTGTTGAGAGTAGCTATAATGATCCAACTTTTACTTGAAAAGCATTTTAAAGTAGGCACAGCTAAAGCAATACTTACAGGCAAAGCTGTAGCTTTAAATGTTCACAATTTTTTAAAAGAGGAGAGCTGCAAATTCATAAGCTAAGCATTCATGACAAAAGATTTCAAAGTTTCTCAGGGGGAACAAAAAATAAAAAACAGAAATTAAAGAAACACAAAATAAACATTTAATTGAAAGGAAAAACAGTCAACAACTGGTTCTTTGAAAAGACTAATAAAAGTAATAAACCTTTAGCAGAATAAATTAATAACAGAAGAGGGAAGGCACAAACAGAAAACAAAAATAAGAAGAGGAACGTAACTAGACATTAGAAAAATTAAAGATGAACAGGATATTAATGATAACCTTTATACAAAATAAATTTGAAAATCCAGATGAAATGGTCATATTCCCAGAATATTATCTATCAGTGACTCAAATATTTCAAACAATAATCTGCATGTGAAATAAAAACTAGAAATGAAGCCCTAAACTTAATGTTTGATATAGACTTGTATGAGGTATATTAGTATGACATTAATATACAAAACATTAATATTAAATTTGAGAAAGTCACAGTTTTCTATATTCCACTGTAAAAGTGGAATATTAAAGAATGGAATATTAAAGAATATTAAAGAGTATGAGGATCCCTTGATGTAGATCTATAAAAATTGGTAGGAGTTTCAGGTAAGTAAAACTTTTGGGCACCCAAGAATCTGTAAATGTAGCACAAGAGGAAAATTTTTAGATATCATCTCTGTGAGGTTAAAATAAACCCCAAACACTCCATTTAAAACACTACTACTGATAATAATGAATTGAGGCAACTGGTGGGACATGTTTCAATGGATAGGCTTAATTTAAATCCTATGAATAAAACCAAAAGTAAAATACAGGTCTCCAAAGAAGCATATTCTTCAAGATTTATCGCAAATGTACCTATCTTATTAAACTTTACATGGCAACTGCTCTCAAACCCAAATCACTCTGGCCTTCTGTAACACATATATTCCTGACATGTGACCCATACAGTTGTGTGTCTTATTCCTTTATAGGAATGATTCCTGCAGAGCTCAGAATAAGTGGTGCAGTCACTAAAACATCAAATCAAAAAAGAAACAGGGGTCTTGGGAACAAAATGCTTTTAGGGATAGTGTCAGAAATCCCCTGAAATAATAGAATTACTCTTAAATGAACAAACATAATTTATAATCAATGTTACTGTGCTGTCCAAGAGAAAAGATAAGAGAATTAAGATATGCTGATTGTGTCACTAAAATAAAGACAAAAAAAAAAAAAAAAAACCTAACAACAACAAAGGTGATGGGGTAAAGCTTTGGAAGAGACGAATAAACTATTTAAAAAGTCGAATTCGGGTAAATACAAAAATGGACCTCAACTTCCAAAATGGGCGCTACTTTAACAACACTACTCAAATGAACATTCCCTAACAACATTTTGACCTTTGCTGGATCAGCTGGTTTAAGACATCAAAAGCAGTTTTACTTGTGAAAATTTTCATCAGTTTCCTCCAGATGTAAGAGGATCTCCTCGGCACACTCCAGGGAGGGAGCGCCCGTGATTTTCTCCTTCACGCTCTGGAACAACTGCCTCAGCATCGCCTGCAGCACTGCCTCGTCCTCCACGGAGAAGTGAGCCATCACCTGTCAGGATCAAACCCCCACGCCCGTTACTAAGGGTCCGCGCAGACCCCCGCACTGCGCACGCGCGTCCCCAGCCAGGCCGCGCCTGCACGCAGCGTCGTTCCCCAGGAGACCGCGCTGAGCGTTTGGGGGTGGGCCCTCGGCTGCCCGCCCGGCGTTCAGAAAAACAAATCACCTTACTCCGGGGGAAATCACGGCCTCGCGAGGACCCGCCTTCGGTACTCGGTGTGGTCGGCTTTCGGTACCAATAGGGCTCAAGCTTCCCCAACTAACAGCTAAAACTACATCCGGGAAGGCGCTGAGGGTGGGCCTGGGGCGGCGGGCTGGCACCGCTACGCGTGACGTCAGCACGTTGACGTTGCTTCGTAGCGGGGAGGGAGAGCCGTTTGACGGCCTGTAGGGCTCCTTAGAGGAAGTGTAGGCTGCGCTTGCTCTCCATAGCCTCCTGGTTGTAGGTAGGAGGGAAATGTAGGCAACAATGGTAGATGTGAAACTGAAAGTAGCTTGAAAAGAGTTAATTGATAGGAACTAAGAAGAAAACTCTCACATAATCTAACAGACGCAAACAAGAAATTAATGATCACAATACAATGCAATTAAGTGTTATGTAGAGAAATGCACCAGGTAGGTGCTATGTAAACCCAGAATCAGCTTTTAACCCAATAGAAGTCGAAAAGGCGAAGACAAACCGGACATGCCAAGGGCAGGGACCTGAAAAACTCTAGCGTGTTTCCTGGACTTGAATTGAGTTGGTGGGGTTAAGAGGTGCAATGTGTCACAGAATCTTACTGGGTCAATTAGTTACTATCATTTATCCAATGCATAGTATACCTAAAAGTATGAGGTTTTTATTTTTTTTTTTTAAATGGCATAAACTTCTGGTCTTCCTTATGTCTGTTTTGTATTGTAGACTTTTGCCAAGGTGCTAATTTTTGTTTCATCCTGGTAGCTCTCGTTGTTCCACTCAAACCACCAAAGCTGAGACTTACAAAAAAATGTAGAGGAGGATAAGGACAAGGAAGAGAAAGTTGGAATTAGCAACATCAGTCACACAATGGAAGAGACTACAGTTCATAGTGAACTATCCGTAGAAGAACACAGTAGATTTTTCTACTGAAGAAACCAATAGACAGCAAATTTAGTTTGTGCAGTTTTTACCAGCTTTGGTCCCACAGGTATTCTAATTCAATGATCCCAGTGAAATTAATTCCTTCCCCCGAAGAACCCAGGAATCCACAAGCAACCAACCTGCCTCTTTACAGCTGCTGGACTCCTGATAGCCTCTTACCACAGGATGTACACACTTAGGTATTGCTCCTCCAATTGTGCACTTGCATACTGCCAGACTTATACCTGCAATGTGCTGAAAGTGCCACTGAAAGAGTGGGAGAAGGTCAATGATATAATTGCCCATGTGGGCATTCACCCCAACAAGGTGGTGATCACTAGACTGAAACTGGACACAGACCACAAAAAGATCCTATAAATCAAAGTGAAAAATCTCTTCAAATAGGAAAGGAAGATGGAAAATATAAGGAAGAAACAATTAAGAAGATGCAGGATTAAAGTAATCAAGTATATAACTATCATTAAGGGCCTCCTTCGTGGTGCAGGGGTTAAAGACAGCGCTGTGAAGCTCTTACCAGCCACAGCAGCACAAATTTGTTCCCCTGAAGGCCAGGGAGCATCCCACATGGTGCAGCAGACCTCTCCACTGCTCCCCTCAGCAGTGTATTTCAATAGATCTGCCTGTTTTGCTCCCCAGCCTGTCTTTGGTGAATCCTCTCACACCCCCACACCTCTGGCTTACAGCCCAGCTCTTGTATCCGTAAATAAATCTTTAAAAAAAATCTTAAAGCTTTAAAAAAAAAACACCCAAATAAAATAATAAAATATAGGAAAATTCCTTGGGCAGAGGTTTTGACAAATATTTGTTTGGCTATGACTTCAAAAGCACTAGCAACAAAAACAAACAAAGAAATTGTACTACATTAAACTAAAAAGCTTCTGCACAACAAAATAAACAGTTCAGAAAATGAAAAGGCAATAGGCGAATAAGAAAAAATATTTGTAAATCATGTATCTGATAAGGGTTTAATGACCAAATTACAGCTCAAAGACAAGACAAACCTCTAATATGTTGGCAACATACTACTGAATTATTATTGGGTTAATGAGGAAATCAAAGAAGTTGAAAAATACTTCGAGACAAATAAAAATGAGAAATAACCCATCAGAATCAATGGGGCGCAGCAAAAGCAGTATTAATGAGGGGAGTATATAGCAATGCAGGTTCACATCAGAAATAAGAAATAACTCAAATAGTCTTATCTCTCACCATAAGGAACAAGAAAAAGATGAACCAACAAAACCAAAAGCCAGTATAAGGAAGGAAATAAATAGATTAGAGAAGAAATAAATGAAATAGAAATCAAAAAGAAAGTCCAAGATATTAATGAAACCAAAAGCTGAATCTTTGGGGGAAAATATAGATAAACCTCAAGGTACATTTACAAAGAAAAAAAGGAAAATTCAAATAAATAGAATCAGAAAAAAATAAAACAGACATTTCAGAAATTCAGAGGATCTTATAAGACTGCTATAAAAATATGTATGCTTGTTAGCTGAATAACCTGGGAAAATGGACACATTCTTAGAAAAATACAAACATATGAGAATGAATCAGGAATAAATAGAAAACCTGAACAGAACAACTGCAAGGAAATTGAATCACTAATCAAATGTCTCCCAAAAAACAAAAGACTAGGACCAGTTTTTCTGATGAGTTCTACGAAACCTCCAAAGATGAAATTAAAACCTATCCTTCTCAAAATTTTCAAAAATTGAGGGAAAGGAAATAGTTCCAAATGCATTTGATGAGGTCAACAGTACCTTAAATCAAAACCAGACAAAGACACCACAAAAGAAGAAGCTTATAAACCAAGTTCCCTATTGAACATTGGTACAAAAATCCTCAATAAAATCTTAGGAAACTAAATTCAACAATGCATTGAAGGGATCATAGAGAATGAATGGCAAATTGGGATTTACTGCAGGGACTCAAAGATGGTTCAGTCACCATCTGACAAAATTTTAGACCAGGGATGGAAGTCCAATAGGTGATTTAAGTTTTTCAAAACATAAGTTGCTTCCAATGTCCTAAGGCTTTAGTAAAGTCTCTGACGACTATATATCTTCACACCAATGGACTGGAGGTGGAAGATTCAGAAATCAGATGTTATTATAGAATTCTTAACTGTCAATAGTAGAAACCAGAAAACAGTTTCTGAAGGGAAAATGCTGCTCAAGTTTGAAGGATACACAAAAACTGTCAATTTTTTGTGAAATAGAAAGAAATAGAAAACTGCCATTATCATATAAGCAAGGGTTCAGAAATGTTGCCTTCCACAAACCCTATTTTAGGAACCTTGGGAAGATATGCTCTGCTAAAATGAGATAGTAAATTAAAAATGTAAAAGTCATAAAGCCCAGAAAATATAAATCTTTACACAGAAAAGAAAGAGCATTTCTTAAATGATGGCGAGTGAATGGCTCAAAGTGACAGCTATAGAGCATTCCCTGAAGTGAACCACCTCACCTGAAGCATGAAGACGTAGGACACCTAGAGTCATTTTTCTAAGGCCTAAGGAAACAGACAGATTTCCTAATTTTTTATATGAAGTTTCTTTTAGCTTTTTAAATAATATTTTTGTTACAGTTTCAAGAAGAATTACTGATAGTTATATAAAAACAACACCCTTCAAAAGATTAAGCAGTTATTGGGGCCTCCCTGGTGGTGCAGGGGTTAAAGATGCAGCACTATCAAGCTATCACCAGCCACTGCAGCACGAATTTGATCCCCAGCCTGCCAGGGAGCTACCCACATGGTGCAGCAGACCTCTCCTGTCTTGCCCACTGCTCTCCTCAACAGTGTGCCTGTTCTGCTCCCCACTCTCCCAGTGAATACTCTCACCACCTCCCCTTCTGCCCCATACTTCTGGCCTACACCCCAGTTCTTGTATGCATAAATAAATAAATCTTTTTTAAAAAAGATAAAGCAATTATTAATTTCAAGAGGAAATGTAATTATAGTGTAACTTATGTCAGCAATGAGTAATATGTGCACAGTAACATACATGGCCACATTCTTAATAACCTAAAAACTAATTTCATCAAAAATTGTGATGAAATTGTACTACATGAATGGAGAGCAATTTATAAAAGGCAACTAATTCCTCTTTATCCACAAGGAAATCAATTTTATAATGCTAAAATTTATAGAATAAAAAAATAGTTTTGAAGATATAGAAGTAAATTCTGATAGAAACAATTGAAGGGTTGAAAGTTCAGAAAAGCTGTTACTTAGAAATGAGGAGGCAATGAGGCATTTCCTCTTCCATTATAAACCCCATATTACTATTTGACTTCTAAATTATGCACATGTATTGCTTTGATAAAAAAATTTACATAGAGCACATTTACTTAAAAATATAGAAATTTACCCAAATCAAGTGAAAAAATCATATATTACTAGACTACAGGGATTGGTCCTTTTCTGTTAACTTCTGCTTCCTCTTTACTCAGGATCTCCAGCTGTGGCACTAACTTCATAAGAATCCAAAATGCAGTTTTCAAAAATATTTCATGCCTATGTCCCTTGCTTCAAATTCTTAACCCTGAGACTTTGAATGATTATGTCTATATATTGAACAACTGTTTATTCCTCATGGTATCATGCAAGATACACGTGACCATACAAATCCATCACTTCAACAAGGACTCAGTGAGGGTACCACTTCAGAGAAGTGGTTACTGTTGGAAATACATAGACATACGTAGTTCACCTTCAGAGCTCACCAAACCAGCCTTTATTAAGTTTACCTGGATTGGGGAAAAATGTACTGGTTGTTGGGAATATTTCTCCTTGTAAATTAGTAAATCGACTTCCACAATGTAAGCAAAAGGAAAGGAGATAAATACATGCGTGGTCAACAAAGAGGAAAATAGAAAAAAATACACAAGGAAGTATTAACAGAGAGAGAAAACTAGAAAATGACTTGACTTTTAAGTTCTTGAGGTTTGGCTTTGCATACCAAACTTCTTTGCATGAGATCCCCCTGTAGGCTGCAAATATATCACATTTTTACTTTACCTACTTAGAATTAATTTCTGGTTTTTCAACTGTGGCACACTGGCAAAAACATTAACTTTTTTAAAAACTGAAACACTGTGTTAGCCCCTCCTGCCAGACTTATAAACTCTCCAGGGGAGTGCAGGGCTGCAAAATTTCTTGGCAGTCAGCCAACTTCAGCAACCTTCATTCAGTTGACAATATTTGTGGATTTGTCTATTCAAACAAAACATCTCTAACAAAAACTCTACAGTAATATACTTTCTTGTACAAAGAAAACTTTATAAACCCTGGAGATTTTAATTAGTAGTAAAATGTGAAAAAATGTAACTGAATTTTGTTTCCTCAGCCATTTTTATAAGAACATGAAATAACAGGAGAACATGGATGTGTTATGAATAAAATTATGGTAAACATACAATAATAGATTTACAGATTAAAAAGGCAGTGATTGAATCAAAAAATCTCAATTTCTTTAATATGGGTCAGAGGTGTCACAGAAGCTTCATGTGTGCTTTCTCTGAATAATGTCCAGGCACCCCTTCAAATATCAAAATATAGAACACAACAAGGTCACTGATACTCTTTTCAACATGGATTGCCTGCAGTACACATGGGGGAAAGAATGACATCATGATACTGCAAGTGCTAGCAGTAAAGTAACTATAAGGAAAGGTGTGCACATAGAAAAAGTGCTTTTTTTTTGGTAAGTCATGTAAGATGGTATCCACTTACTAATTGAAGAATCAACACCTCCCAGAAAAACAGCTTTTAAAAAATAGATCATTGGAAGGAAGAAGAAGAACATGATAAAAGAAAATTTGCTTCCTAAAATTTAATCACAGTAAATATAAAAGACTGTTCTATTTAATGTCAAATAATTTATTAAATAATGCACCATTTTTTTTCTTGGCTTAACAGATTGAGGAAGGACATTAATAATGCTCTGCCATCAACTACTTCACTACACACTTCAGAACAGAGCAGATGACATCAAGGATCTGTGGGTAAACTGTAAATGAAAATCAGGATTCTGCCCCCTATGAGTTCAGTATGTTGCTGTATGATTTTCGAAGAACTGCAACACATAATTAATCATGGCAATTAAGAAGTTATAATTGCCTCTCTCTACCTTATGGTGAATTCGCTGCTTCCCTTTGCTTTAAATATTACAAAAAAAAATAATGTCATGTGGATGCAAAAAGTAGTCAGCAAAAGAGAAATACAAATATGATTATATTAGAATGTATCTTGGGTATTGTGGTAATGACCATAGTTTATGGCACAAATATATATTCTGCATATGTCTTCAGAAGTTGCTAAATATTACTAACAAGAACTGAGGATGGTTCTGAGGAATAAGTCTTCACATTATCTCATAACTCGGCTAAGGGTGACAGAATTTTCTCTAAATCTCTGGTTTATTAATAGTGCTTAAATAAGAACTTATCCTCCATAAAACAACATTAGTTTTTTTTTTTTCCTGGATCAGTTAAATATAATGTATTTCTTATATTCACTTTGAAAAATTGTTAACACAGGTTGTGATAAAAGCAGCATATTAAAGGGAAGATTTGAATGATTTATTCTTTCCCCAAAGATCTAATTTAGATTAGAGTCTTTTGATACTTATCTGTTAAGATATTGCATAAGAGAAAAGTGTGATGATCTAGACTGAAGATCAAAATCTCTTGCTATTGATTTTGTATATTTTTATTTCCTAGAATCAATATATTTCAGAAAATGCCTCCCTGTGGTAGAGAAAAACAATATACTTCCTTCTAAATATCCAAATGAATATTCAGAGAGACCGCGATCCTTCAATAAGCTACTTGTAAATATGAATGACAAGAAGTGCCAATTTCATCCTTAGGAAATAGCCAGATTTCTTAGACAAAAATAATTTCAACAATTGAATTATCTTCATTTAACACTCAAACATTTTTCAAATGTTTACAGCACCAGTAACATAATTCAAAAAGCATCCTTAATCCAAAAACTCATTTTTGGGTGTGTTTAGGCAACAAAACAAACATTTTACCAATTGGTAATAGCTAAATGTTGGGTCAAAAGGTCCATTACTAATTCTACTTTTCATTTTGAAATGATGTATAAACAATAAGCTATATCAGAAAAACTGGAAAGTTCACTGAACTGGGTAGTATTTAGTATTGTTGTTCTAACCTGTCCTTTTTTATATATACGTATACTTGCCAGTATATAAACATATACTTGCCAGTACTTGCCTAAACTGGAAAAAAAATGGAATATAAAGGAATTTCATAATTAATAAGTAAGCATATACAAAGAAAACAGTTTTACACTCAGTAATGAGAATATTAGATTTGACCCTGGATTTTGTTTATGTCTGGCTTCAATCCATGAATTTACCCTGCTTCTAGCACTGTCCTAGTTACCACTACTGAGTAATACATACACAAATCTTGATGTGACTTATTTGAGGAAAAATAGCAGCGTTCTGCCTTTTATCTTAAGTGAAGAAAAAGATGTTTCAGAGTTATAAAGGGAGAATTTGACTGAGAACATCTAGGAGCATCTAGTTTCCGCCCATGTGTGGTCTGGAAAGGGGCAAACATTCTGCAGAGTGGACTCAGATAGGCAGAAAGACAGATAGATAACTATATTTTATATAATTTATTTAATTGTACTGTATATTTTAGTCAAACAAAAAGATATAAATTCTTTTTGTCGAATCTGACTTCTTTCCTGAGAAAGTGTATCAGATTTCCTCGTTGTTTTTTTAGAGATATAGTAGCACTGATGAATATAAACCCTGGTAATACAGACATCAGTTAAAATTCATGGTCACCTTACGGAGTAACACCTATGGAAGAGGTCCCAGCAAAGGCCCAGAAAAGGTCAGTCTGTGGTCAAATATATTCAACAATCACCATGGTAACATTCCTGAGGCACAGCTATGGAGTAACCTTCCTTCCATCATCTCAAAAGATAATTCTGTGCATGACCTGTATTGAAGCTTTATCAGAATCATCTCTATATTGTTGAAATAAAGTTGTCACTCCCTAGAGAACAACTTTCTCATGGAACAACAACCTAAGTCACTTCAAAACACAATACTTAAGGGAACAGCACTGACTGTTCCCAGAATTACACCAGACTAGAATGATTTCCAAAACCGTTCTATCATGCTGCAGAACTCCCAAAATGTGTGATTTAAAATCCAAAGACTTTTCAATGTGTGCATGAGTTCATCCACAGAGCTAATTAGATGACTGAAAATATTTTTGTGAATGATATTTTTGTTGTGGAGAGATGACTCTCTTATGAGAGTCCTTCAGAGGATTCTTATTTTGGGAACTTGAAATATCTGCCACCACCATGGAATGTCTTTTTTTTTTTTCCCCTCCACGTGTGAGGTAGGTGAGATTAATACCTGCTTTTTGTCTGTTGTTCTCCCTCAGAGAAATGTCAAAATCCATAGCTCTTCCCTACAAAACAGCTTGCTATCTCTGCTGGGAAGCGTTTCTTATTGCATGTAAATCCTCAACTCAAAGTACCTTTGTTTAGATATCAGTCTTATTTTTTTCTGTTTCTTTAAAGGATAAGGAGAAACTTAACCTCTATGCCCCAAATGAGGTCTGAGGATTATGAGTGGGTCTCTCCATGGGCTCACAATTTCTTCCCTGAGGAAAGTAATAAAAGGAGTTAGAAGACCTTCGCCCCTTCTGATATTAACCCAGTCTGCTGGGAGAGGCTCTGCTGTAGATGTTGAGCAAGTCCTTCATCATTTACTCTCACCTCTGAAACTCCAAACCATTTGGAAAATTAAAAAATCCTACCTTTAAGTAGAGGGCAGAAGCAGTGCAGGTAATATTTGGATATTGTTTGTCTCTGTGTTTGAGATAGAATAAAGAGGCTATGAAACATTTTTGGTTAGTGTCTCTATCTTAAATTATTTTTCTCTTTGTGATACAACAGTTTCAACCAATAGACTAATCCCAAATCAGAACGTATCTCTAATTTTAACAAGTCCTAAAATAGTATAGAAACCAGTCAACTTTTAACTGAAATTCTCCAAAACATTGACTCTATGTAAGGACATATCTGAAATCACATGATCAATGACAAATTTTTTAAAAGTGTAGGGGATAAAGGGGAAAAATATGACCTAATAACTATAGAAACTTGTGGAACCTGTAAGGCCAAATAGCTTAATATAGAAACAGATATTTGCATATAGAAAAATTTGTAGATAGTGTTTGTACACATAATAGTATTTCATTGTACTATCAATTGAAAAAGCTTAAAGTAATGAACACATCCAGCATTCCAATCAGGTTTCTAAGGTCATTCATTCTATAGTAAAGAATCAGTTATTTTATTCAAGGATCCCTTGTTCCAGATTCTTGGAAAGTAGCTGATCAAGGAATAGTGTAGGCAATATATGACGTGAATTCCAATATATGACTGGAGTTGTCTTGTAGGATCAAAAAGTAAGGGAGTGCTCAAAATAAAAGACAACACCAGAGTTAGGGCAAAGAAACACAACACCAACTGAAAAGAGCTCAGATGAGAAGTCTGATACCAGCTTCTTCATCTGTGTTTTTTTTTTTTCCAGAAATAAACTATTTTCATACTTGTAGTGCAGAAATGTCACTTTATCATGCCTTTTTGAATGCTGACTGGCAGACAGTAATTTTAGTAAACCTGTAGTCATTCATGAGCAGAGAAAGTTTTATTTTATTTTCTGTTTGATTATTACTTCTCTGTTCTTTTTCTCTTTCTGGAACTCTAATTTTATTATGCCCTAATTCCTGAAACTGCCCTATAAGATTCACCTATTTTCCTTTTTATTTCCATCTCTTTGAGTTTTGTTTGACTTTTTCCATGATGAGTTTTTTTTCACTTATTCACCCAAACTAAATACAAAATTGTTTGCCAACAAGAACCAATGTTTTTTGTTATTCTAATAAGATCATATTTCTTAATTCTAGTTCAGCTTGTCTTCTTCTAGGTCCACAAGCCATTGGAAAGCACGGCTTCCTTTAAGGAAATTTGCAGACTTAGTTACCTCATGAAATACTGAACTGCACACCAAGTGAAGAGATGAGGATGACCTCTTCTGCTCGTACTCCCACAGCTCCTGCCTGGCACCAAAGAAAATAAATTCCTCCACTGAGTGTTCTTCATCCAGTCAATCCTGCTTCTCCTTGGACATAGCATTACTGGGAAGGAATTCAACCAAGCTATAAAAATAACCCATCCCAACCTATACCAACCCCCACCAACAGTCAAGTTCGTCAGTGTAATTTGCCAGAAACTCTTCTGCCAATTTAACCTCCTCATTCCTACAGCTCTGAGCTATCATTCCTGGCACTCTTTGCAGACTTCTTTCATTTTTTAGATTTCTGATCAAATACTACCTCCCAGAAAGGCCTTTCCTGCCCATTCTATGTAAAATAACAAAAATCCACTTCTCTGTCCTTTTCATATGCTTTATTTTTCTTTGTAGCCCTCACCTTATTTTTAAATTATTTGTCTCTTTGTACTAGAATATAAGCTCTTTGAGGCCCCCCTGGTGGCGGAGGCAGTTGAGCACAGCGCTGTGAAGCTGTCTGCAGCCTCTGCAGTGCCGGTTCTATCCCCGCTGGCCTCCGAGCAACCCACAGGGCGAGCAACCCACAGGGCGAGCAGACCTCTCCTATCTCTCCTGTTGCTCCCCTGAGCAGTATATTTCGTCAGTCTCCCCGTTCTGTTCCCCACTCTATCTCTGGTGAATCCTCTCACCCTCCTGCGCATCTGGCCTGTACCCCGGGCTCTTGTATAAATAAAATAAAATCTTTAAAAAATAAACTCTTTAAGAGCAGGGAGTTTTTCTCTTTGTTTTTACTATATACCCATTACCTAAAACAATGCCTAAAGTGTTGCAGTTGTTCAAAATATACTTGTTGGATCAAGAAACAAGTGAGATACTGGTATAAACCGTGGCCTCAGATGTATTTCTTGATTTGGTCAGCTTGCAGAGCTTGTTGTTTCATTTTTCCATGGACAGAATTTTGAAAAGAAAAAAATTCTAGAATATATGCTAAAACTTTTCTGTCTGAATACTTCCACCATAGCCATGTGAATTTTTTAATATACTTTTCTTTCAAAATAGATAAAATTGTGTGGACTTCCAAAGATGGCACATTCAACTTTTGCATCTATTTCTATTCCCTCTATACCACCCTGAAATGATAATAAACATTGTTTAAATGCATAAACTCATGAAAGAAAGAATAGGTACAAAGATAATAACTACAAATTTTATAAGCTAGAAAGCAAATAGATAAGCAGGAAATGACTCAGCAGATGTGAGATAAATTAACATTAAACTAGGAGAGGAAGAAGCTAAAAGCCAATAGGGGGTACCTAGTTTAAATCACAATATTGCCCAAATGCTCAGGAGCTGGAAATCCCAGACACCACTAGAAACACAGTAAAGATCTACAGCTACAATCTGGGGAGAACTGAGGATATATTCTCTGAAAAAAATAAACAGAGGATTCTAGACTTGGAAACCAGTGTTGGGTTAGGAAAAGTATACTCAAAACAAAGACATTGCATGAGTATTTGCATACTAAAGGGATGAAATCACCACTCTAGCTTCCTCCTCCCTTAGCAACTAGACACAGCCAGATTTTTACTCTGTGCAAGGAATGGGTAGAGTCTTCTCTAGAAACTTGATCAACTCAAAAAGAAAGAACAACTTCCCAGACAAAAAGTGTCACAATTATATTCACAAACTTTAGGTCATTGCCAAGTGATCAAGTGAGGAACTACATCTTCCTTTCCTTTCCTGTGTTATTCTGGGTCAGAACTGGCCAAGGGAAAAATATGCATGATATTTGGAGATGAAAGTTAAGCATAGATTATTATTCTCTAAAGAATTTCACAATCAAAATAGATAAAATTGTGTGAAATTCCAGAAACTGGAAAGTACAAAGTTCTTGGCAAGTCCTAGATTGTCTCTCCCTCTCCTCAAATCCATGTCTAGCCCTTTATTTTTTTTTAAGATTTATTTATTTTTATACAAGAACCAGGGTACAGGCCAGATGCGTGGGAGGGTGAGAGGATTCACCAAAGACAGAGCGAGGAACAGAACAGGTAGACCGACTGAAATGCACTGCTGAGGGGAACAGTGGGCGAGACAGGAGAGGTCTGCTTTGCCATGTGGGATTCTTACCAGCTGGCCCGGATCGAGCCAGCGCTGCAGAGACTGCAGCCAGATTCACCGTGCGGTGCTCAACTGCCTGCGCCACCAGGGAGGCCCCCATGTCTAGCACTTTTCTCCAATTGGTGGGAAGAAAAAGTATAAAGTCAAAAGCCCCTGTAGCAAACAGCAATTCCAGCCTTATCAGCAGCACCTGCTGGCAAATGTCCAGAGACAGTATAGAGCTAAGTTTGTCACAGGCCTCTCCCTGAACTCCTGTTTGTCATCTCCCTGAACTCCTGTTTGTCAACCACTGTAGTGATTGGACACACTGGACTTCTTAGATGCCCCTAAAAACCCCAACTTGTTCATCTAGCTCCATGCCTGAAGAGGAACTGCTAGTGATTTTTCCTCCAATCCATCAGTGCTTCTCTTTCAAGACTCCCTTCTAGTCCCCTTCTATAATGCCTCCCATAGTTATACAGGGCTAATCCCTAGAACAAATCTCATAACATTTATAGAAGTTTGGCTTTTCTAAGTGAATACTGAGTAGTCCACAAGCCCCATTTACATGCTCAGAGTTTCCAACTAGGTTTTTATTCTCCAACTTTGTAAATTTATTCTGACTGGGCATCTGGGGAAAGCCTCTAGTAAGAAAGATGTCCCCTCCCCCCAAAAAATTAAAAAATACAGCTTATAGCAGAGACTGAATGATGTGTCAGTGAATTCATGACCTAGGTTAACATGAATGGTTATATTAAAACCTATTCCCTCTCTTTTTATGAATGCTTTAGCAAAAGATATCTGATTCCTACAGTATTCATTGCCTAAAGTGCACTCATGCACATACACACACACACAAACATGCACTCACAAAAATCTGTGCAAATCAGAGGATTTATGTTAATAAGACATGGTTGTGCATAAAATGTCTTCACAAGTTGAAAATTATAAGAAGCTGGTAATAGTGCTTGCAATTCTGGAAGTGAGAAGCTAGCTGAATGAGGGGGAAGGAATATGAGGAAGACCCCCTTTTCTCACATTTCATTGCTTCTGAATTTTGTGTCATATATTTCAAAAATCAAAAGAGCACACACACAACTAAGAAAAAGAAGAGCTTTAAACATTGAAATAGACATTGCAAAACACAAAGCAATGGAATAATGCTTTCAAAATTCTAAAGGAAATTATTACTTAGAATGCAATATGGTATGGAAGGAATCATTTCCTAGAATTCCATACATAGTCAAACTATCAATCAGTCATTAGGATAATAAAAAAGTATTTATATATTTCCCAGCATAAAATACCTCAAAATACACCTCCTGGGTAACATTTCACAGGCAGTTCTTTGTCTAGGAAGACAAAGATGTTGGTTATAGGAAACAGAAAATTCATTTCAGAAGAGTTACAAAGAGCATGCTCAGGTAAAGGACAATCCCAGGATCAACAACATGAGCCAACCCTAGCAGATATCCAATGCAGAGACCTCAGTCAGAAACCTTCAAAGAGACTACTACCAAAAATGAAGTGATTAGGGCCCCTATTGCACTTGGACATCCTGAGAAGAATTTTAGAAGACCAATGTGTGCCATTCTGGCCCTGCTTGTTCTCAGAGACATATTCTAGGTGGCTTATAAGCAGCAATATTTATTTCTCACAGTTCTGAATGTCCAAGATCAGTATGCCTGCATGGTCAGGGCAGGCCCTCTTTTGAGGCACAGCCTTCTTGCTGTATGACAGAAGGGACAAGCGAGCTCTCTTTGGCCACTTTTATATTGCTCTCATTTGTGAGGAATTAATCCTCATGACCTACTCACCTCCCAAAGGCCCTACCTTCTAATGCCATCATATTGGGCATTAGAACTTCAGCATTGGCATTGTGGGGACAACTATTCAACTTATGGTTGAGGTCACTGGTACAGATAATTTCATTCTTTCTCTAACTTACGCAGCTTCTTTAGTAATATTAGTATTTCCTTTGTGGTTCTAGTTCTCTCTAGACATGAAAGCCATGACTTTGACTCTGTGCTTCAGCAATATCTTGTTCTTCCTTTTTCTCTCTATACTAAAAAGACAAAAAGCTTTCTGCTGTTGCCAAGCTTTTTAGTTAATTCACTAGCCTCTTTTAGCTTCTCAACATCTTCCTGTATTCCAATTCCACACATTAAAAATATCCTTCATTGTTAACATAGGAAGTGGTTTCTTTTTTCCTGATGAGATGCATACTGAAACATGGTTGATTTACAAAGTACTTAAATATCTAAGGAAAACAATATAGCAAAATAATGAATAGCAGGGAACAGATTTGTACAGAAAAAAAGAGGTGCTAATGTTTTGTCATTCCTATATTTAAATAATTGATATCATGCAAGTAATATTGATCTAAAAAAGATTAGATGCACATCTAATAACATAAATCCTACAATTCAGTAGACCAGCTTGTGGTATTTTTCCAACAGAATAGGAAAAATTCTTCTACTTAATGATTATGATGTCTTGTAACTCTATTTTACAGGAGAAAGAGAGAGAAAGGAAATGCAGGAAGCAAAACATGGATCCTGCTCTACCATCTCTAGTCTTCTTTCCAGAAAAGATAGGTAACTTGGGTAAACTACAAATTCCTTTCTCTATCTTCAGAATTTTAAAAAATATACCATGTCTTAGAACTAGAGAAAGAACTATTTCAAATAAACTTGGCAACAACTCTAAATTTTAGGTGAGTACTTGTCAGGGGCGGCTGCCATAACAAGGATGAATGTTCTTAGAGCTGGGAATTGAAGAACTGAACACACTGACTGGAGTTCAGAAGTTCAGAGAGCAATATGGAGTGCCAAGGCAGGTCAGACTCACTGTGTGAACACAGTTTCTCACTGAGCTGAAGATAAATAGAGAAATAGGTCATTGACAAACGCTAGCAATGGGCCAGCACAGAAATGAAATAAACCAGGTAGCTCATGCCCAGGGACCCTCAAGTCTCACAAGGCCCTGAGGTCCAATAACCTTACTTCCCTACAAAAAGATGCCATCTTGGAAGGACCCTGAAATGAAAGCAGAATCATGAAAGAACCTAAGTGATGCAATATAAATTGAGCTGCCTAAAGAAAAAAAAAATAAATTATTGGACCTTACTACTTCAAATTGAACTTGTTTAAAATTGGGATATATGTGTGTGTGTGTGTGCATACATATGCATACATACACACATATTACTCACTACCTAAAAGACATAAAGAAGGTAATTAATTAATTGTGTTATAGTGAAATCACTGTGTGATTATAGTGAAAATCACACACTGTGTGATTATAGTGTGTTATAGTGTGTGTTATAGTGAAATCAGCTTGCTGCCTTACAGTGTGAAGTTTAGGGCTCTTTCTCTACATTTAATTCTCCAGACACAATCTTTCTTTCCCAATCCCAACTTCCAGTGAATGATTCAACTCTTCATTCTGCTCATAACCATGTGTCAGATGATTATTGCAGATGTAGTTAATTTAAGAAGTTATAATGACAGCAAAATAACCTAGAAGTTATTTTACATCAGGTCACCTATCAAAACAAGTCAAGGAAGAACTAAAAGTCTCTGATAGACTCTGAGCAGATATCTTTGACAAG